TACCTAACACAACAAATTACAAATACTATGTGTCAGTATTCAGTAATAATGTAAATATATAGTAAGTGTATTATTAATTTGAGTCATATCTGAAATAACCGGCAAAGCTAGCCTAAAAGAATTATTATAAATGTCTATATTACAACAAAAAGAGATTTTCAAAGAAAGAATAACATTGTATAGTTTATGGCAGAGCTCGGCAAAATGTGCAAGCGACGGCCGATTTTCGACTATCTCCGCCCACCGTTATTCCCTTTACCTCGCCGCTCCGCGCGCTGCCTATAAGCCGTTCGAGCCTCAGGGGCGTGTTTCCAACAGTTTTCCACGTCACCCATGAAGTACTATTGTTAACGCGTTTTTTACTATTGTTAACGGTTTTTTTTTTAAGTGGTATCCCCAGTGAGCCTAATCCACTGATGACTGTAACAACCCGTAACTAATTGAACAGAAGCGAAATAAAATATGTTAAATGAAGAATATTCAATTCGATTTTCGGCGTCTTTCATTGGTAAGAGTGGAAACGTCAATTTGGATATTGCATGTAGCGAGCCGCATAAGACATGGTAAGGAATCGTCGCTTAAAGAAGAACACTTCTCATTTTTTATAAACTGCATTTTTGAAAAATGAAGAAGCCTACTGGGGATACCACTTAAAAAAAAACGCGTCAACAATAGTACTTCATGGGTGACGTGGAAAACTATTGGAAACACGCTCCTGAGGTTCGAGCGGCTTATAGACAGCGCGCGGAGCGGCGAGGTAAAGGGGATAGCGGTGGGCGGAGATAGTCGAAAATCGGTCGTCGCGTGCACATTTTGCCGAGCTCTGGTTTATATTTCAATAGTATCAGTACTTAATTGTATAATATAAAAACAAAAACGCAATAAATTGTATAACACATATATATTTCTTTTTATAACTGTGTCTGCGTACAATAACATAGTATAATAATTATTACAAATGTTTAGAAAAGAATAATATTTCACTGGTATAGTATTTCTAACGGTTTTTGGCTCAATTTAATTTGATGAACGATGTTAATAACTAAAAGTACAATATATAACATGAAACTAAAATATAGTACTTTACAATAAAAACATATACAGCACATATATTATTTTATAATTATATTATATATATATAATTATGAAATAATAAATATTGTCCTGTAAATTTATTCCCATAACGATGTGCATATATTTTTCCTAACAAATTTACTGCGCTCCGCATCGTCCTAAATGACAGTTTTACTTTTGCGCTTAGGCAATAATCCGAATTTTAACATAAGCCGAAGTGAAAATATATATGCCATCCGACATTGTAGCTGCAACGGGAGACTAAAAAAATATCAATATCTTTATTACATTCTCATCTCCCAAATATCATATCATATTATCCTGTATTATCACTTTATTTTTGCATCAAGATACCATGAGAAGTTGTTAACAGTGTCATTCATTTAAATGACAATCCGGACTATTTTAATTTGCTTGAAAAAAAATGTGTGCTGACCATTCTGCAGACAAGTGTACTATATATATACATGTGCAAATGAAAAGTTATGATTAAATTGTACATACTAATTATATAATAATAATAATATAATTAATTAATATTATTAATTAATTAACATTATTAATATAACATATATTTATAATATATATTGTAATATATATTATATATATATATTGTTATTATTATTATTATTATTATTGTATTATTGTATTAATGTTATTGGTGTTACATTATTAATATATAATTATAATATAATTATATAGTAACACATTATTATCATGTATTATATCATGTATGTGTACAATACGTGTAAATAAACAAACAGAAAAATGTAACGATAATGTAATAACAAGATGTAATCAAAATGTAATAGTAAAAGGAACACATCGAACAACAATTTTGAACCCAGACGTCACTATGCAACTTGTAATAACCTTCAATTGATACTGATTGTTTGAATTCTACTACATCTTGTGAACTCCCTCGTTGAGAAACTATACGTCTTTTTTAATACAGTCCTTTTTAATACAAAAATAAAGTTCCATTTTGCTAATTCTTTGCTTCTGTCTTTGTATTATTAAAAATATATCTCTCATATTTAAATTTAATACATAGAGATATTTTTGTACAAAGTTCGTGATCTGGAACAGGTCATTTTGATATTTTTATAAGAAAGTTCAATTTTATTTTTATTTTTAATTTCTAACGTTAATGAAAAATAGATTATCATATATATTGCGTGTTTGAAAACGAAATATAAATTGAGTAAAATAAATATTAGATGCTATGCAAAATAAGTTAAAAATATATACCATATCAAAACGTGTATCAAGATATTGATTCATTATTATATCACCTATCAGTTGCATGCTTACAAAAGTGCCGCGCAACCTACAAATTAAAAATGATCAAATTAATTCTTAATAGAGGCACTATTCTTTCTCGCGATCAGTTACTGTAAGTATTTGTAAAAGAAACAATTACCAGTATCCTACTATTAAATAATTCTCTAGAGAGTGTTTCAGAACTTCACGTATTATTATGTGTTTCTTCATAATAATACGATAAATTTCAATTAGCTGGTTAAACAATAGCTTACTCTTAGGTCCGAGTGAGAACAATATGTTCATATACTTCACGATAATCTGTATTTCTTCCGAACAAAATAAGTATTTCAAAATATCTATATCTGTACTATTTTTAAATTTTTCAAACATAATCTCCGAAATAGTTTCGTTCGCCGTCAACATGCCGAAACAATATGTCCAATCTTTCCACCATGGTAAAATTCTACGGTATACGGAAAATATCAATCATTAGCAAAGTTTGAGTTTCGATCATATAAGCGATTAAACACATAGCGCAATAGATGAAAAAACATATTCATGAAAATTAACATTGCTTGTAAAGATTTACTTGTTATTATTAGGATCTAAGAGATGCCAATCCAATTTTTTCTTAGCACTTATCTGGCAGTTGATATGCCTGAACTTACAAGCCCATCTTGTTGCTAATAATCTTAATGCTTTGTCCATTTTATTCTCATAAAATTCTTCTTCGAATTCCAATATTTTAAGTAAACCGTCCAGCATTTCATGTACCACTGCCTAGGTCACACCAAGGAATATTGATACCATATTAAAATTACATTTGATATGACAATATTATAATTTAATTTTAATTTAGTACCTCGCACTATTTATCAGAAACTGATTTTTATACGCATGTGTAACTACGAATATATCTATTACATTTATATGGTATACATACATACATGCATATATTCACTATCAAATTTTTCTTTTTAATATCTTTCTAAGATAATCCATCTTCAATTATCCTTAGTGCTTTTTTATACCCGGTATTTTTATATCCGGTTTTTTTATACCCGATAAGCTACGCGTTTCCTAATTAATTTATTTGATAGTATCTCGCGTTATTTATCGGCAATCGTTTTTAAATGTACATGTAATTATGCTTATACACTATCATATTACTTATATAAATATTTATATACGAATGCGTATATTTACTATTAGAAAAATTTTATTTTCTAATATTTTTTCAAGATACTCCATTTTTAGTGCTGTCATGGTTTTCATGTCCGGTATATATCCTACACATTATATATAGACTACGCATCTTTTAATTAACTTATTTGACGAAATTCAATAATATCTACCTTCGTAGATGCTGATTTTGGATTATTCCAAATGGGCCACATGTACGATAGAATGTTAAACATTGGATACCAAGCTATATAATTTTTGTCCTGAGATAGATGACTTGCGATTTGCCAAAATATGGATGTTGGTACATAGCCTTGTGTCATAAAATAATATGCGTCATCAATCAATTGCGCACGAGCAAGGACATCTATTTGATGAAATGGACCATTTTTTAAAAAATTTGCGATTCGGAGCCAAGCTTGTTTGTCATAATTAACGCGATAGTATCCTGTTGTAAATTAAATAATAAACATTATAATATTTCTGTTAAATAACTTATGATTGTATTGTAAAAGTTTACAAATTGTAAAAGGTTACAGGTAAGGTAAAAGAATGTATTAACTCAAAGATGTATTACGCTCTAAAAAGTGACAGCGTCACAGACTTTATCTGGTACACTCACCACTTTGTTTTATATTAAATATAACGAAATCAACATTTGAGTCTTCAATAATTTCAATAACTTTAATAACTTCAATTGAAGAGTTAGTTATCAAAATGGAGCTAGTTATCATACTGGAGCTGTTACGGTTGTGGACAAACAAAGTGCAAGTTACTGGTATTTTCCAAATAGATTTTCTCATATCGTCACTTCCAGTGATATTAAAATTCACTACATTATTTGTACGATTGTGATGAACTTGCAAAATAGGATAGTATTTTTGAATTAACCACGTATGCATAATTTCCTTTATTTTAAACTTTTCACTTTGTTCATTATCAAGCACACTTTGTAAAGAGTCCCAGAAATCGTTAGGAGTAATTGAACGAAACTTACTGTAAAGAGAAAAATTCAACGTTTTTGCCTGCGTGTACGCACACGTGCGTGCAGATATGCTTTGTGTCATTAATAACGTGTGAATTTTGCAATATAAATACTAAACACATTTTTACTTAACCACGTATTCAGTTGAACGTTTTAACGTAAATACATTAATTATATATACGAGATACGTAATAAATGTACCAATTTTAACTTTCATTAATTAATGAACGTAAATGTAAATATAAAATTGAAAAATATCATTTCTGTCATACATATAGTTATCATTTGAAGCAACATCTAATAACGAAGAAAATAATGATATTACAATGTGTTACTTACAATGTGTCCAAATATTTTCTGACAGCTAATTGAAATTTATCTGGTGATATCAAATGCTCTATCATACGTAAAAGAGCAAAACCTACAATAAAACCGTACGTTGCAGCATAATAAATTTATTTATTATTTAAAGTTTAAATAGAACATAAAAATCAAGTAGCATAATCTATACACTGTTTCCGTTCAGAAACATGTGAGCATTTTTTTTAATCTCCAAACACTCACCTTTATTATAATACCAATGAGAACAGAGAGCAACATCAATTTCATCCACAACCTGTATATTATATTCGGAAAGAGCTTTCATTTGACAATTAATTTCTTGGTAACGAGTTTGTTGAAGAATTTGAATCGCATAAAGGTCCATTAATTGTAAGTGGCTGAAAATCTAGAAATCATTATTATGGTAGAACAAATATAAAATATGAATAAGTGCAGGAATTAAAATTACGTAAATATCATATTCCAGCAAACATAAATATGTAACGGGTATATCATTGTAATAGAACGAAATATAGCATGTTATATAATATAACAAGTCAATTGTAATCAAGTTACAAAAGTTATATGTAAGTAAATATAAGAAAGTTACAGTATATATTAGATGCAATTTTCCACTCATGTAAAATTGCAGTATTTATGTAACATGAATGTAATATGTTATTAAAATGTTGCAGAATCCTTATATTAGTTACTGAAAAATTATAGATAACAGTTATGAAGTTCCAGAGAAATGTTCATAACTGAAATACAAATTATATACTTTCCAGTAACTATTGTTATACATGATGTATGACGGTAACATATACATCCCTCGTGTACACAAAATCAAAATATCTGTCATATAAATTATTTCTACGTTACATACAGTTATGTTCCATACTTTATGAAGCTTATACAGAATTGAAAAGCAGTTAGAAGAATTTAAAAGCTTAATTAAAAGGAATTTAAAAATTTAATTACCAATTAATTTAAACAACTTTCATCTGAAACATTTTTTTATTTGCCTAATATTTTTTCAGATATTTAAGAAAAACTTGATAACTTCTTTTCAATACTTAACTCACGATATCTCCCTAATTATTTGTCAGAAGAAAAACTAAACCTTTTGCTCTACTTGGTCTCAAGAATATATTGTTACAATAGTACCCTGACTATTGTTAATTTGATGATTTTGAAATTTCCAAAAGTCAGTAAGTTAACAAAAGTCGCGGCGCTATTGTAACAATATATTCTTGGGACTAAATAAAGCAAGAAAGTCTAGTACCACTTTTTCTTCCGACAAATAGTTAGCGAGATATCGTAAGTTAAATATTGAAAAATTTATCAAGTTTTCCTCAAATATCTAAAAAAATATTAGACAAATAAAAAACTGTTTTAGACAAAAGTTGTTCAAATTAACTAGTAGAAAGAAACAGTATAGTAGAAAATAAAGATTCCCATTTAAAAAACGCAAGTTGACCTTCAAATGACCTTGAAAATAGAGATCAAGGTCAAAGTCAAGGTCATCATAAGGTAGCTCACTTAAATCCCTATAACTTTTATTCAGATCATTTTCCTTAAAACTTCAATACTGAAGAGTTATTTGTATTGGGACATTAAAATGGGACACGCTATATATACAGGGTGTTCGATTTAATCTGTCCAGCCCAATATTTCATGAACTAGCAAAGCTAGAAGAAAAATCAAAAAAGGTTCTTCAATGGCCTTACTTCGGGATGATCTTCCGTGCGGTGGAACCGTACCTTTCCGTACCGGATTTCGAGGGGGGGAAGAGGCGCTCCAATTTTTAAAATGGAAACCCTGTACGAAAATAACAGCTGTTATTTTGCTATTGATAAGGCTCGAAAAGATGAATCCAACGACCTATATTTTTATATGCTTATTGTAAAAATGACGGCCGCTATGATTTTTTAAAATAACTTACGAAGTTAGAAGAGGATTTTTGTTTAAAAAATTTGAATGTCCCTCCCCCCTCGAAGTCCGGTACAGAAAGGTACTGTTCCACCACGCGGAAAATCATCTCTAAGTAAGGCCATTGAAGAACCTTTTTCGATTTTTCTTCTAGCTTTGCTAGTTCACGAAATATCGGCCTGGACAGATTAAATCGGACACCCTGTACTGGGTATCTGAGACCACCCGTACACCCCTTTTCTTTCCAAAATTAAATATTTTGTAGAAAAACATTTTAGATAAAAATGGTATGGTTTCAAGGGAAACATAAAAGAACTATATCGGTTTGTTTACAGATGGCGCCACTTTCGAGATATTTACTGATCGTTACCAATTTACCAAGTTTCCTTCAAATATCACAAAAAATATTAGGCAAATAAAAAAATGTTTCAGACGAAAGTTGTTCAAATTAATTGGTAGAAAAAGATAATATAATAAAAAATTCAGGTTTCCATTCAAGAAAAATAATCAGTGAATGATCAGTAAATGATCAGTGAATATCTCGAAAGTGGCACCATCTTGGCGATTGTAAACAAACCGATGTAGTTGTTTTATGTCCCCCTTGAAACCACACAATTTTTATCTGAAACATTTTTCTACATAATATTTAGTTTTAGAAAGAAAAAGAGTATACGGGTGGTCTCAGACACCCAGTATATTTAACCTTGTCCACGATGTAATGACTGTAAAGCTTCGAAAGTGATTCGCCTAACCACAGATCGGTCCACCAAAACCCGGTAATCACTCCTCTAAACTGCTCACGTGCCATTTGGTATGAAATTATCTCGGTTATATAAAGTTTGCAGCCAGCGAAATCGAAATATCCATTATATAGAAGATCTTTTTCACTGTAAATTATAAATTAATATGATCATGTAATGTTGATGTAAGTGCGTATAACTTTACTACTTTATAAATTACATAAGCGTATAAAGTTAATTCAAAGTCTTTAACACAACGGAACACTTTAAGAACACAAAATAATAATAACATTACATCAGTTTTATCGTTTTATATTCAATTATATTACAATCATATGCAACATATGTTGTAGCGCACTTTCATCATTAAACAGTAAAATAAAATATTGATGTAATGTTACAATTATTCTTTACTTATTAGATTGTAACGTATTGAGAAGGAATTTCCACATATTGCTGTTTTAGATTGAGCAGAACAGATTTTTTTTTATTCAGCATAATATCGCCAACATGAGTATAATATCGCCGAATTCATAATATTCGGACTTCTTTTAGTGTTCAACAATATATATTACAACACTTGAATTATGTACCGGTATATTATAAGGCCAAAATATCCTATTGGGTTTATTATATTACTTGGGAACAATATGTGATTCCTCTTTGGCATATTGAGTAAACCCGTCATGAATATCAAGAATACCTTGACCTGTTCAATTGTTCTTAATGTATGTAGTAATGTGACTGTCTCTAGTTCGGAGCGATACCAAATTAAGTCAATTTCATCTTCAGATGTTTCATTACTTTTGACATTGTTTTCAACCAGAGCAATCACGATTGTAGTAGGGGATATCAAAGGTGTTTCATTAAAATAAGTCCAGCAAAAATCTTGCCTACAATCTTTGAGTATTTTGGGCATATTTGAAAAAGATCTGTATTCCTTAGGATGCTTGACAGATATGTTGAAAATTGCTTTTATTCCGGGCTGGTCCCAACAGGGAATCATTCTTCGAGCCCCCCTTGTCTCAAAGTTCATAATAAACAACCTATTGTAAGGATATATTATTGTAAACATAAAATTTTCAACTATTTTATAATGTAAACGCCGCCAAAAATAATGTTATAATTGTCTATACGTAATCTATGAATATTCTATATGATATTCGTATAAATTCTGTATTATTCGATATGAATGTATTGTTTACATATGGTCAGATAAAATCAAATGAGATAAAATATAATTTATATATTTATACGATACAAATAAAAGTTATATAAATGTTTGTTTTTGCCGTATTTTAACATTTTTTATTAATTTACACACGGAAATATTTATTTTATTAATTTACACACGGAAATTTTATTAATTTACACACGGAAATTTTATTAATTTACACACGGAAATATTTATTTTATTAATTTACACACGGAAAGAATTGTTCATAACTATTTTATTGTTTAAAAAAAATGTTTAGCAAATCAGTTTTATCACACCTCTTTCCCTTATCATAATTATATTAATCAACATAACAAACATGACATTTTAACCAGATGAGCCAAATAGAAAAGAATATTTACATGTAACAGTTACTAGTACATTTAATGATTTACGCTATTTTTTACCTTGCTTTCTCACAATTTGTATTTTCATTGCTATACTCGTACTCAAATATACTTTTCATGGGAGAAGCAACTTCGGAGTAAATTGTTAAGTTATAAACTCCTGCAATTATAATTTTATCAAACTGCAAGTCCAAGATCTGCGATTGTCTGCAATAATAGTAACCGTGGACCGTGTAAAATTCTAATGAGGAAGTATTTATATTCTTTAGACTTATCATATTTTCGAGGATACGCAATTCATAAGCGTACAATCTTATGTCTCTAGTTGGTTCGTCAACAATGAGCATAATACTAGTTGTACTGGTAGTTCTATTATAACTCGGATGTATATCGAAATTTATAGTATATCTAATTGGCCGTGTTTTATTAATCAATAGATGATCATGTGGTGAAGCATCCAAACAATCTTGCTCGTCCATGTTTAAATATTGATCTTTATTCGTAACGAAATTTGGAGACGTCCAATGAGCAGCGCACATCGAAATGTAGCTTAATAATAATATCAGAGATTCCATGTTAATGTTTCGCAGAGACATATGTCTATCTATACAAACAATTTATTTGTTAACTAATATTAAAATATTAGTTAATGATAATGTTTAATATTAGATCATCCTTACATTGTTAGTTAATGTTGATGATAAAGTAAGAAGAATAATACGAAGAATATAAGTTCAAAATTTTTTACCTAAATATATAAATATGTAAATGTTCCATATATGTTATTCTTATTCCTAATGTTTGTTGTCTTCTACACAGGAAAAATAATACTTCCAAAGTCGTAATCCACTCGCTAAACAAAGAGAAAGTGAATACGATACCAAGCAATAATTACAGTTACATTTCGAAAAACGCTCTGGCACAAAATTAATTAAAAATAAAGAAATTTGCAAGGAAATATAAGTTGTTGTTGATGTTCTGAGCAATTCATATGGAAAATATCATATTTCATAATACTATTCCGAAATGTTCACGAAATAACAAATTTATAAACTATAGTAACATAACGTAAAAATTGATAATGAGAATTAATTTAAAAATTTACAAAGCAGAACAAATTTTTTAATGATTTGTTATATATATATATCAGTTATTATATTAATAAATAAGTGAAACGTAATAAAAAAATATATATATAATATATTGAATTTAAAATTATATATTCAGCAAACGAGAAATTGTTTTGATTACCGATGCTTATATATTTAACTTAAAAATTCTAACAACAAAAGAATATAACTACTTATTCACAATTGATATACCTTTCCTTTTCAGCGAAATGCAACAAACTGACGATTAAAGAAATATGTTGTCTTTATAAGGAGAACGAACTAGATATTTGTATATATATTTGTATATATAAATAGGACGTATCTAATATTCGTGCACTGTTATGACACATAACAAATGTTCAGAAGCCGTTAGTGATTATTGTGCCAAAGCGACATAAATTAACTTTTAAATCCATCTAGAGTAATGGATAAAATACATCTGTTAAATTACACGACCGCTAGTAAATAATATTTCATATCAGAGTCTTCCATATAAAACGCGAAAATTATCAGAGTATAATTGATATACCAAGAGATATCACAATTAACGAAACATTATTTAATAATAAAACTATTTTGGATGACTATGCATCCATTATCGTTATAGCCTAAGCAGTATAAACGTCTAAGACGTCTTTTTAGATATGTTGAAATGGATGTACTTGTTCCAGATACGTTTTGAATGTATTTAATAAATATTTTAATAATATGTAATAAATATTTTAAGCATTTTCTATTGTCAAGGGATCTTTATAGATTACCTTTTTAATCTGTCAAGATAACTTTCATCTAATTCTCTTCCCGGCAAAAAATAATATATATATATATATATTTATGTTTAATTATATATAATTATACATAAATTATACAAAGTGTAACAAAATGGTTAGTGTCAAATGAAACAACTTAATCATTATTTAAAAATAACGAGACTTTTCTTATACAAATTTATGTCCTATGAGCTTTCGTTTCAATGAGTTAAAGCGTAAAGTTTTTCGAAAGAAAAGAAAACAATTTTTATTTAATAACTTCTGAGCAAAGAAAGATATTACAGTTTCTATCTGTATTTCAAATTAATGAAGGTCTACTAAACATAATAAAATTATCTCTCCATATGCATCAGGAAACAGTAAAAATGCTTTCGAACTCAGAATAAATATCAACAAGCTTACTACATTTACTTATAGATCGAGAATTAGAATTTCCTAACTTTGCACAATCTTCATTGGTTTAACTTCTATTCCCAGACAGCACACGGATGTCCATTAGACATTCGTTATATATCCATTTTTTTACAAAAGCCGTCCATAGGACGTACGTTTATCACAACTTCGGATATAGGACGTCCGATGGACGTACATCAGACGTCCTACAGGTCCGATGTCCAATAAAGACATCCTTATTACGTCCAATTTATGTCCACGGACGTAAATCGGACATACGGACATAAATTGGACATGAAACGTACATCCATTGGATGTCCGGTGCTGTCTGGGTCGATTATTCAAAAAGGACGATATATCAAATCAGCTGTCACATTAAATTTATACTCGTTAAATTTATATATTGTAAATTTATATTTTTCTCTAATGCTTAGCTAACTTTAACGCGTTTATCTTTAGCTTCTAAGATAAAAAGCAAAATTTCTTAATATTTACAATACACCGAACCTTTTCAGTCGAGAACGCAACAAATTACAAATACAACGATGTCAGTATTCAGTGTTGATGTAAATATATTGCCAGATTATATCCGTAAATTTAACTTGTAACATGTAATATAAATAATATATAATCAAATAATTAACCTAAATATTCCAAATATTATCACATACTGTTTTAAATAATATTGTTTTAAAATATTTTGTTTAAAATATTGTTTTAACTATTTTAAATCATTTTATAGTATTTTAAGTTATTTTAACTATTTTAAAACTACAATAAATGCATATATTACGTCTTTCGCTTTAAACTCAGAGTGCAACATCCATATATTCGCAATTGATATATCATACTTTCGACAAATTGCAACAAACAAAAATTGAAGCACGATTACGTCGCTAGACATACGATCATCAAGATAAATATATTGTTAAAGTAATTTGTACTAATATATCAAAATCATGTTGATTTATCTAAGAAATTATGTGGTAGCTGTTATATTATTATATATATTATTTTATATATTATTTTGTACTAGATAAGCTTACCAAATAAGACACAAAAAGGATCAGAGAATGTATACTAAATTGTCACAATTGACAGAATTAAGCATAAGGGTTGTGATGATATTTAAAGTCGATATATCCAATATTGCAATCATTATAGTCTTTATATATTATAATTGTCTAAAAGTCATCTTACAAATACCTGTAACATCTTATATCTCTAAGCAACTTCTAAACAATTTTTAGAAATTCCTAAGATATGTATTAATTATCCATACTGTCTCTAGAGTTTATCTTCTGCTATTTGTCTGCATGACTTTTATTTAATTTATTTCAAATATTACTATCATCCGGCTGTAATATTGTAAATAGCAAGTAATATTGTAAATGGCGAGTGTATTATTAATTTGACAGTCACATCTGAAATAACGGACAGAGCTAGTCTTAAAAGAATTATTATAAATATCTATTACATTACATACATTATAACGAAAAAAGATTTTGAAAGAAAGGATAACATTGTATAGTTTATAGTACAACTGTACAACTGTCAGTACTTGTATAATATACTAACTGTATAATATACAAACAAAATCGCAATGAATTATAGAATAATACATACATATTTTTTTGTAAGTTTGTCTGCGTACAATGACATAGTATAATAATTGTTATAAATGTTTAAATTTTAATAATATTTTACTGATAAAATAATATTTCTAACGATTTTTGGTGCAATTTAATTTGATGAACGATATTAATAACTAAAAGTACAATACATAACATGAAACTAAAATATAATACATTACAATAAAAAGATATATAGCACATATATTATTTTATAATTATATTATATACCTAGACAGCACACGGATATCCATTGGACGTCCGTTATATGTCCATTTTTTTTACAAAAGACGTCCATAGGATGTACATTTGTCACAACTTCGGACATAGGACGTCCGATGGACGTACATCGGACGTCCTACAGGTCCGATGTCTAATAAGGACATCCTTGTTACGTCCAATTTATGTCCACGGACATACGGACATACGGACATAAATTGGACGTGAAACATACGTACGTCCATTGGATGTCCGGTGCTATCTGGGTATACAGGTTGTCTCAGAACTTTAGCACACAGGCTCCGTAGGGACATAGAGCTAAGTGAAAGGAACAAAGAAGTCCTCTACCATAATGTGAAAATCGTAATAGTTTTTTAATTATAACAACGCAAAGTTAGGCGTTTTTCACGCCCAGCGCGGCCTGTAGACGCTCCGCGGCAAGCTGTGTCTGTAGAAGCTGAGCGATAACACGGCTCGCGCTGCGTTCGCTGACTATCGCGCGGCGTCAAAGCGCCAAGACACCATCGCGACAGTCAGCGCGAGACGTGTTATCGCTCAGCCCCTACGCACACAGCTTGCCGCGGAGCGTCTATAGGCCACGATAGGCGCGAAAAACGCCAAACTTTACGTGATTATTCCAAAAAAATCTATTACGATTTTCACATTATGGTAGAGGACTTTTTTGTTCCTCTCACTTAGCTCTATGTCTCTACGGAGCCCGTGTCCCAAAGTTCTGAGACACCCTGTATATAGTTATGAAATAATAAATATTGTTCTATAATGCTTATAAATTCATGTCCACAACGATCTGCATGTATTTTTCCTAATAAAATTACTGCGCTCCGAATCGTTTTAAATGACAGGTATTGCTGACGCGCTTATGCAATAATCAGTTTTGATATAAGCCGAAGTGAAAATAGATGAGCCATCCGACATTGTAGCTGCAACGGAAGACTCAAAAAAATAACAATTATTATGTTTTCATCTCCCAAATATCACATCATATTGGGTGAGTGCAAAAGTTCGTGCGGAGTTTCAATAGATGGAGTTATAAGCGTCGTAAAGTGTTATCATTAATACTTCCATCTACATATTATATAACGTTGGAAAGGTGACGTCTTCAGCTGTTATTAAAAAAAAAATCACTTGTTTTCATACAAACTGCTTCGAGAAATATCACTTTAAAAATGAGTATCGATAAAGTGCATTTACGGCATGTTATGCTTTACGAGTTTCGGAAGGGAATAAACGTTGCCGCAGCAGTAAAAAATATTCAGGATGTTTATCAGGATGAAGCACCAGCTAAACGAACTGTGGAAAAATGGTTTGCTAAATTTCGGCGCGGAGAATTTAACCTTGAAGACGAGCCACGCTCTGGTCGACCTTCTGACATTGATGACGATGTTTTGCGTACTTTAGTGCTCAATAATCCGCGAATTTCAACAGAAGAAGTTGCTACAGCACTAAACGTTGACCGATCAACCGCTTTTCGGCGTTTAAAAAAGATGGGATTCGATTTGAAGCTCGATATATGGGTGCCCCATTTGCTGATCGAGAAGAACAAAATCAAGCGAATTTTTGCAGCCGTTTCTTTATTCGGGCGGCTCAATAACGAGTCGTTTTTGGATCGACTAGTGACGGGCGATGAGAAATGGGTCCTCTACAACAATGTTCAGCGCAAACGGACATGGAAACAATCAGGTGAGCATGGTGACGCAATGCCAAAGGCCAGTTTGCACCCGATGAAGGTGATGCTCTCTGTTTGGTGGGATTGCAAGGGCATAATCTATTTCGAGCTTCTCCCCGCTGGCGAAACGATTGATTCGGACAAGTACTGTCGCCAATTAACCAATCTGAATCGAGAAATAAAAGAGAAACGTCCGATTTTGTCAAATCGCAAGGGAGTCGTCTTTCATCACGACAACGCCAGACCACACGTTTCGAAAAAGACGCTGCGCAAACTGAAGAGCCTGAAATGGGATGTCTTAACGCATCCACCGTATTCTCCTGATATCGCACCATCTGACTATCACTTGTTCCGGTCATTGCAAAATTATTTAAATGGAAAAAACTTTGACTCTTTGGAGGCCTTAAAAAACGGCGTCTCTTCGTTCTTCGAATCTAAACCGCGCAGTTTTTATGATCGAGGCATCCGTATGCTGCCAGAACGTTGGGAAAAGATTATAGAAAACGATGGAGAATATATCATTGATTGAATAAAGATTTTTGTTTGCCTAATCACTGTGTGACTTTTACTCACAAACTCCGCACGAACTTTTGCACTCACCCAATATTATCGTATACTGTGACTTTATCTTGACCAGATACCATGAGAACTTGTTAATACAGTCATTCATTTATATGACAATCCAGATTATTTTAATTTGCTTGAAAAAAATGTGTGCAGGCCCTTCTGCAGACGAGTGTATTATATTATATACATATACAAATGAAAAGTAATAACAAAACTGTACATATTAATGATATAATATTAATAATAATAATATAATTAATATTATTAATAT